ACAGGTGGGTGTCCAATCCTCGGGCAGCCTGGGACAGAGGACGTGTGGAAGGCCCAGCCCCCAGCCCCACTGTGCCGGAAATAAAGTGCTTGTTTTTCTGGTTTCCTGAGTCCCCGTCTATTTCTCCCTAGTTTGGGGGGTAGGGTGCATGGTGGGCGCTGGGAGGGGGAGCCTAGGCCTCCCCTCCACACTCCCTGCTGGCATCCCCACAGGGTTTCAGCAGGTGCTTTCAAGGGGGAGTCCCTGGGGGTGCAGACAGTGAGTGGGCTGAGCTGCCAACTGAAGGGGCTGGGGGCTCAAGTCCACCTGGGGGTGCCTTGGAAGAAAGTCCTGGCAGTCCACGTCTGGAAGACCTGCCATTGGCCATGGAATGGCAGGCGCACAGCCCTACGACGGTGCACCTGGCCCCCACGGGCCGGAGCTAGTGCACCTGCACGTCCTGCTTCTACGGAGAGCCCCAAGGCACACCGACGCCCAGCACAGGGCTGCTGCAAGTGCAGAAATCACCAACTGGCCAGCGGCCCGGCGGAGTGGGCTTGGGCCCAGGCACCGCAGGTGTTTGCCCTGCTGTGGGGGACTCTGGACTTCCCCTAGGGTGCTCACAGGACACCACGGAGTGGCACAGATCCCTATGACACGCCCCCATTCATAAGCATAAAACAGACGTGTGTGTGGCTATGTCCCCGCGTTTACACGTTTGTTTGTCCAGAGTGCGAAGCAAAAGAGGATCGGACACCAGTGCCAGCCCCAGGCCCTTCTCTGCTCTTGTCTGTGTTTCATTCTAATCGCAGCAAAGTCTGCGTACAGCAAGCATTTACCATTTCGACCATTTGCAGGTCCACATCAGTGGCGCTGATTCTGTTCACCATGTGGTGCAGCCTTCACCACATCCATGTCCAGAGCAGACACTTGAAGCCCCTAAACCATAACCAATAGGGGTGCCAGGTGCCCTTCAAGCCACAGCTGGGGGTGGGGGCACGTAACCACTGCCACACCTCGGTCTCCGCACATCTGCCTGTCCAGGTACTTCACTCAGAGGGTCAGGCAATATCCGCCCTCTCATGCCTGGCCCCTTCCACTCAGCGTGTCTGCAAGGTTCCTCCACCCCACGGCAGGCACTAGAGTGTCATTTCTGGTCACAGTCTCTATGTGACAGCGGTGTGGTAGCTGGGGACTGTGAGTCATCAGGACCCCTCAGATGTGGGATGAGCAGCCAGGGCATGGCTGAGGCTCTTGGGGAGGGCACCAGTGATCAGCCCAGCTGCCCTGCACCCCTGCCCCGGCTGCACCCACAGAGCCTCTCAGAGGGGTGGCCAACAGGGAGGTACCACCACACGTGTGAGGATCCCACTGGGGGGACTGTGGGCATGGCAGGCCCTGCAAGCTCTCAGACACAGGAACTCTGTCCTGTGTGTCCTGGACAATACACATCACCTGTAGAATTTAAGGGGGAGATGGTATGCTACAGGTACAATTATGTATGTAGCATGTGGCTGGGTGCTGTCAGTCCCGTCAAGTTGATGCCACATGACAGTGAGCTGCCCCATAGGGTTTCCTGGGCTGTGACCTTTACAGGAGAAGAGTCCCAGGTCTTTCTCCCGTGGAGTGGCTGTGGGTTCAAACTGCTGACCTTCTGGTTAGCTGCAGAGCCTCTAACCATTGTAGCACCAGGCCCTTTATGTGGTACGTCATTGGTGGATGGTCAGTGCTCACACCACACTACACAGACACCTCAGAGAAGAGGCTCACCCCGGCCTGCTCCAGCCCAGCTCAGCTCCCAGGGGGATGGAGGAGACAGGCTTCTGCTGCTGGCCCCCCAGGTCCTGTCCCAGGAGCCAGCCACGCAGCAGCACTCTTAAAGTGCCCGTTCACTTTTGGTCCTGATTCTTGGCCAGATGACAACATAGCTTCTGATAAGTCCCTGCTCCTCTGGGCCTCAGTTTCCCTGAATGTAATTGGAAGGAGTGGAGTCTAAGCTCTTTAAGAGCCGGGCTCTGGGTCTCCAGACTCAATGGACCAAGATAGACCATGTTTCTCACTGGACCCTGACTTCTGACCCTGCCCAAGGGCCAGAGCTCTAGGCCTGACCCTGCTGTTTCTGATCAACTTCCTGAGAGCATCTCCTACTGACCCCTCCACACACAGGGCCGTGCCCCACAAGTCCTCATCCCCCTGTGTTCCCCTCCACGCACAGGGCTGTGTTCCCCAAGTCTTCCTCTCCCCACGAGTCCCCAGTGCTGCGCCAACACCAGCCTCAGGGCCCATCATCTCTCTGCCCTCACCCAGGATGATGAGAATGTGTGGGGTGGCTGGGACCTTCATCCTGTGTCCCCAGCCCCAGCCCTCCCTCAAAGGGCACCTGGCACCCCTCCTGAGCTGGTATCAGACGTGCTCAGTGAACGTGAGGGACTGTTGGGTTCTACTCAGGAGAAGGGGCCTAGTCTTGCGATTGCATCCTGGCTCCACATTACCTCCTCTCCGACCGAGCCCCGGCTCCGCACTGCCTCCCTCCCAGACTGAGCCCCGGCTCTGCACTGCCTGCCTCCCAGACTGAGCCTCTTAGAATCAGGGTTTTCTTCCTCTTCTGCCTTAGTCTGGAAGCTCTGCTGAAAGTTGTCCCCATGAATGGCCCTGCTGGTATTTGAAATCCCAGTGGCATAGCTTCCAGCATGGTCATGTGACACGTAATCCAGCCACAGGGAGTGTAAGGGTTTAATGAAGACATTCTCAGGCGTGTGGGTTCTGAAGACACCCAAAGCGTAGGCTGTGAAGCAGGGTCTAGGCACGAAGACTCGAAGCAGGACCGACAGTGAGCGATCAAAAGTAAAGGGGAGAGCTTATGCTCGCCTCGAAATGAAACCCACAACCTAACAGACCATAGAAACAACAGACACCTACGTAACAATGCAGACTAGAACTGTAGGTAATGGCAACACGGGAAGCCGGTACGGCAAGACGGAAACGGATGAGGACAGGCTGACATCTATCAGTCCGAGGACGGCGGTGAGGTTAGATCAGTCCAAGGAAACCACTGAGTGTGTGGGCCAGGGTGACCACGAAACAAACCCACTACCATCGAGTCAGACCCGACTCCTAGCGACCCCTCCTTGGGTTTCCGAGGCGGTATCACTACGGCAGTAGATTGCCCAGCCTTCCTTCCGAGGAATGGCCGGTGGGTTTGAACCGCCAGCCTTCTGGTTAGCAGTCAGGAACCTTAGGCAACCACAGGGAGAAGGAAACAATGATTGAGTCAAAGATTTAAACCAGCACCAATCCCAAGTAGCACAAGGAGCCTCCCGGTGGGAATAGGAAAGGGACCAACATGACCAATGTGTGGTGACGGAAGTCCGACAGTGAACAAGATAAAGCCCAAATTTAGCACACAGAACAAGCCCGGAGGACGGCAATGCGCCAAGAGCAGAGAGGAGGTTGTGTGCGAGGCAGGAAGGGGACAGGGTGTCCTGAGGTGCCAGCAGGCGCACTGGATGGGGTGGGAGAGGGGTGGCTGCGAAGTGAGGGGTGGGCCTGGAGCTATGGGTGGGTGCTGCATGGGGAGGGGGCGTGGTGGCCTACAGGACTGGGTGGGTCAGCCAAGCAGGACCCAGCCAGAACCCAGCCTGTGGATGGCTGAGGAGGGCGCCCAGGCCCTGGGGCGTGGGTGAGGATTCAGCCCTCAGGAGATCCCCACCAGATACAAAGTGTTGGGCGGGGCTGGGGGCACCTGATTAAAGGGGTGGACCACAGAGTAAAGGGAGGAGTCCCAGTGGCCTGGGGTGGGGAGAGGGGAGGTCTCTGGGAGTGGCAGGGCTTTCCAGAAGCTTCTGAAGACCCCTTGGGGAGGAGAAAACCCGGTCCCCACGCCCACCCCCTGGCCTCAGAGCAGCTGCCAATGTCAGTCATCTGCAGGATGTCTGTCTGTCTGCCCCAGACCGCCCTTCCTGCTGGGCTGGGGCTGTGGTGGGGGCAGGAAGGGGCTCAGGGCTGCGACTCCCCCACATTCTCATGGGCCCCGGCAGCTGGACAGGGCCCCCCATCCACATCCGGTGTTGGCGACTTCACACCTTAGAGTCCTCCCCCGCACCTGGGCGGGACTGCGCCAGGCTCGGGTCCCAGACGCACAGATGCAGGAGGAAGCCCCCAAGGTCCCCCTTCATCTCTACCCCCTGTGCCTGCTCCTGGGCCCCCCCACCAAGGGGCTAGTAGGAGGACCAGACAGGTGTGTGAGGGTGGCCCAGGGCAGGGCGAGAGTTACTCTGGGGCCTGGGGGACCATGGAGGGCAGGAGCCTTAGGGGCCAGTGTTGGGCCTGGGGAGGGGGCAGGAGAGGAGCAGGAAAAGGGAGGGAAGTGGGCAGAGCCTGGGCCTCCAAGGCCTTTGGGGCTACACGGAGGGGGTGGGCCTGGTCAGCTTGGAGGGTCAGCCTTCAGAAGGGAGCAGGTTTCTTGATGCTGAGAAAAACGGGGAGTCCTTGACCGGAAGCAAGAAAGATGGCAGGCCATCAAGACTTCCAGACTGTGAGGCAGTCTGTCTGTCTGTCTGCCTGCCCCAGTACCACCCCCAACCCAGGAGGGGTGGCAGTGGCTCCTTCCTGAGTGGACATAGATGCGTTGCCTCAGGGAACATGGAGGGGACTCGG